TGTTTATTCCTGCCTCTCAGTGTGCATTGCTGTCCCCCAACCCCTTACGTATGTAGTGGGTGTGAGAGCCTTAAAAATGTGCTGGGTGTTTGTGACTGGGCCTCTGCTCACATACTCCTCCTCTCATAGCAGTGATTTGGACTGAGTCCTCTGGGTAGAATCCTTGAGGACAGAGCATGAATTTGAGAGCCTATTTTTCCAGGAACTAATGGAATATATGTGTCATCTAATGACGTGTTCTCAATAAGAGATTCCTGGTTCTTCATAGCTTTCTAAACTCTCAGGCACAGCCTTGCAGACTCTTGACATAATCATTCTCCTGAGGAAAGAGTGGGAGACCAATCTCCTAGCCACAGGGTTACTATAGTTTAAAGAAGCCCCGGATAAAGTTTTTATAGGAAATGATTGTTGTTTAGAAGTTTTTTTTTTTTTGGCTCCTTGAACTTTCTGGAGAGAAGTGCCTTGGAAATAAAGTATACCTGAGATTTAAATTCTGGAGTCACCACTGGTAACAGCCACAAACAGTGTTTTTCATTGACTGCAAAGCTTCATGCTTTACTTTCAAAGCATCATTTCAATCTACATAACCACCTGGTGAGATGAGAGTAGTTTTCACCCCACTGAGGCCCAGAAAAGTGATGGGGCTGGTGAAGAAGACAATAAGCTGCAGAGCTTTGTTGAGACTCAGTTATTCTGGGCTCATGATCTTTCCACCACCCCAGGATCCTCTTAGTTTGGGGGATCTGAGAAGAGCAAAAGCCTGCTTCTGTCAGATCTTGGGACTTGTGGGATGGGGTTCCTCCAGCAAAGCCCAAGTTTTGGAGTCCAGCTTCTATCTTGGGCAAGTCAGTAATCTCTGAGCCTCAGTTTCCCAAACTGGAGATGGTAAAACTGGCTTTGCAGGGTTAAGTAAGATAATACAGCAACCTCTACCTGGCACACGGTAGGGCCTGGACAGGTACAGCCCAGTCCTGCTTGCTTGACCTTGTGTACCGTCCCTGAGGGGTGGTGATACTTGGCTAGGGGACCTACCTACGGGGACAGAGAAGGGTGGGAAGGGTTCTTGCTGTGATCCCAGTTCAGTCTGCTCTAGATTATGATGTTGACTGAGATGTAGCTGAGGATCCCATTAGCTAAACTCAGACCCAACAGAAGAAAATGGTTTCTGAATTTATAACTGCCCTTTCTTCTCACATCTGTCAGCGTTCTATGCATTTGCTCCTGGATATGTAGGAAGTGGAACAGCTTCTTTTATAGAGGGGGAAACTGAGGGACAGAGAAAGCGACTGCCTGTTCAGGCTCACCTGACACAGCCTTGAGGAAGTTTAGAGTAGAATGAAGTCACTTTCCTACTGGGCTTCTCCAGACTGATGTTTGTCTAATCCTAAATTCTTTTGCTTGTTTCAGATGGGAGGCCATTGAGTTAAAACTCTAGCTCCAGCACTCCCACCTCAACCCCCTACCGCCCCAAGCAAAATAATCAGCATTCATGTAGCCCAAGTCAAGGAAAGAAAAGTCTTTGTTCAAATCATCCCACTGTACTTTGGGAATCCAGATAGCACAGAAACCTGGCAAACAGGCTTTTAAGTTAATAGATTGTATTTAATGTCTTCCTTTCCATAGCGTGTGCAGGTTTTTGGGTCTCTTCTTCAGTCATCTGCATGACTCACATGCCTGAGGGCCTGATGCTGGGAGCTGAACCACCTTTCCCAGCTGCTTCGCTCAGGGACCCAGGCTCCGCTCTGGAGGAGGGCACAGTTCTTGGGCGAAACCTGCCAGGAGTATATACCCCACCAGGCTCTTAAATGGGGAGCACACCTGTAAGGCGGGAAGGCTGAAGCAAATGAACCAGAGTGCCCACATCCAGGTGAATGGTGATGCTTTCAATGTTGCCTCTTCAGGAGGCTACACACGTGTACCGCTGGTGTTCCCATTGCTCAAAACAGTGTGGTAAGTGACCTCTAGAAGCTTCCATCAGAGTCTGGTGTTTAGCCAAGCGAGAAGATTGTTTTTGAGACTTTTTTTTTTGCAGCCTCATTTTTGGATACCAGATGGTGCCTCAAACATGACCATTGCTCCCCCTCTTTTTTAAAACTACTTGTGATTCCAGATAACTTCTAGTTACTTCCAAAAGTCATATTCACCCTCGGAGGACCCAGGCGATCATCATTCATGTTGAGGAGATGCAGAGGAGCACCCTCTGAAGGCAGATCTTGTTGCGGAGCTGAGTGGGCAGCTGTGCATGCCTTGTTGTTACAGAGGCAGGCCAGGACCGCCAGGTAGTGGTTGCGTCTGGCTTGAATTGGGAGCTGGTCCTGCCCAAAGGGAAGCTCTCCTGAAGACACACTCCCTGTTTGCAGACACCATGGGACACCCCCCAGGAGAAGAGTAGTTTGGACTTAAGTCATACCTTCCGATAAGCAAGTTTTCTCTAGGGGTGTTTCTGTAGTCATGAAAAATGGGGTTTCTTCATGTGTTTCTTCCTCCCTTCCCTAGCCCTACCACCGCCCCCCCCCCCACAACTGCCACCATACCTACACCCTCACTGGTGTTCCATGTTGGGGCCGCAGCTGGTCCTTCTCTGGATGAAATCTGTTTGCGGCTGGCTCCCAAGGTGCTGATTGTACTGTCTTTCCTCACCCACCCAAGGCTGCAGGACACTTATCTTCCCATAGTTTTGGCTGGAGGAGCTCCCTGGCCAGCCAGTATCCCCGCAGCTAGTGAGGGTAGGGCACATGAGTGAGGCTGCAGGGGGATAATTACAGTTAGAGCTCAAGATTGTAAGGTGCAGAATTGGCAAAAGTGGCCATTTGTCCTGGATTTCCTGGTTCAGTCACAAATTCAGATAGTCTTTTCTTTGCCCCACCGAGGAGCAATGGCTTATCTAGAAAATGCAATGTGATGTAATCATTTAAAATGATGTGGATGAGTTTAAAATAATGGAGAAAATGTTTATATTACAACACGTTTTTAAAAATGAAGATGCAAAATTATAAGTACAGTATGATTACAATTATATAAAACATAAAGCACCTCTTCTCCACCCTCCAATAAACCCCCCAGACATATAAGAGAATATACCAAATGTTAAAAATAATTTTTCTTTTGGGTAGCAGGACCTTGTGATTGTTTTCCTTCCTTTCAGCTTTTTTATTTCTCAAATACTCTCTAATAAATTTCCATCAGTATCTTAAATGGGCATAAATTAAATTTGGTAAGATCCCAAACAAACCTTTTTTTATTGTTGGACTTTGTGTCCTGAATTTGGGCGTAGAGATACAACTGTCATAACCAAGGTGACCTGAGACTTCTTTGTGTGTCCACCTCTGGAAATGTGAAAAGTCAGGCAATACCAGGTTCCAGGAAGACGTTCTGGGCATAGTTCTGCCTGGAGGCGCAGGGGCTGGACAAGGCAGCCTCTCAGAGCCCCCTCCACCCTCGCTCTGTGATTATCTCTGTGCACACAGCCTCTGCCAAGAGTGTGCGGGCTGAGCATGGTGACATTCTCGGAGTGGGGAGCAGTAACAAAGTCTGGCTGGGATGGAGGCCGGGGGCGGGGAAGCCAGACTGAATGCCTGAGCTGATAAGGAGCCAGTGATCTTTCTGCCTGGTGGCACTTGCACGTCCAGGCTTGGCCCCATGGGAAGCTGCTGCCCGCCGGAGCGGTCCTGCTGCTGGCACAGCCCAGAGATTGTGGTGGTCACGGCTGCTTCTGTGGAGAGTGTCCCTCGTGGTGCTGGGCTATCAGAGCTCTATCTCGGGACATGAGAAGGATTATTTATCCTTTGAGCAGTTTTTGAAGGAAGCAGCTTATCTCCACAATGGAAACAGGATTTTCTTTGTAGTAACTCTGTCAAAGCGAGCCCGGGGAGCGGCATCCAGAGGGCTTCCTCCCCAGTTTGTGTCTCCCTGGATCCTGCATCTCCATCTGCATCTCTTCAGGGTCCTGGGCCAGATTTTCTCCATTCTTCCGGGAAAGAGCCTCAGTTTACTGCAGCTGCCAGGATCCTGTTGCACATCAGAGCAGCGGGCAAAACCCAGCCACAGAATGCTGGGACTTACCCTGTGAGGAAGGCTTCCTGATCCTGGAGTTAGTCTTGGGTGTCAGGCATCCAGCTGTTTGGGGACAGGCATTTTGTGAAGTTATTTGCTACCACTGCTGTTTTCAAAGACTGGCAAATGCTGGGGCTCTGTGGAGGCAGGTGAGACTGGTTCTCCAGAGTATCTCTTGAATGCTGGCCGCAGCAGGCTGTTTCCAGAGTGCTGGCCCTTGTAGGGCCAGCGGAGTTCTGGATGGGGAGCATGGTGTCGCTGGGTGCTGGTAGAGACATCCTGACCGATCCTCACTGGGGACCCCAGCATGCTTCATTTCTTCCTAGTCTCCAAGTATGGCACAAGGGGTTAATATATCCACTGGCTCTATTTTGGGGCAAATGGAGTGTTCCTAGAATAGGACTCTTTGTTGAGTAGTCTATTTTGGGAGGCAAGCCCCACTGGCGTTTATGTAAGTGATTCTCTGTGTGTATCTGGGGGTGTGGATGTGTGTGCAAGTGATTTCTTGTTACTAATTATAAAAAGCTTTTGGGAGCCAGGGAAATGGAGGTGTGTGTGTGTGTGTGTGTGTAGGGAGTGTGGATTCCTCTTGCTGTGAAGAATGATGTGACTCTGCATGCCCATCCGATAGAGCAATTGGCAGAGACACCCCAGTAAGAGTACATGTGGGGACCTTAGGACAGTAGGTAGGAATGGCAGCCTCTCTCCCTGTGTGGGGTGTCAGGCAGTGGAAGTGTGTCCACCTGTCATCCCCTTGCTTCGCTGAAGTGCATGGGTAGGCTAGACCTTAGAGCCCTCTGGCTGCAGGCAGGGGTCAGGGTGTCTCCAACAGACCAGTCCTGAGTTGTCTAAAGCTTGTCAACGAGTTCTAACCTGGAATAAATCTCAGATTCCACTTCCTGCCGCAGCCTGGCACTTACGCTCTGGACTCCCCTATCTCTCCACAGGCCAAATCCACATATGTCAAAGCAGGAGCGAAACCAAAGACCATCCAGCATGGTCAGTGAAACGTCCACAGCCGGGACCACTTCCACCGTGGAGGCCAAGCCTGGCCCCAAGGTAAGCTTCTGGACACCCATTCCTTCTTTCACTCCTTAATATTTTGCAGAAGCCCATTTGATCTTTGTAACCAGAAGCCCATTGGATTGTTGCTATAGCTTTGTGAGGGAGACATGTAAGAAGTATTCTTTCCAAATGATGGGGTAAGGAAATTCAGGCCGACTGGGGTTATGTCACTTGTCCAAGAAAACAGGCAGCTGCTCCAGAACCAGGACTGACATCTGGGTCCTTGGATGCATTCTTCATTTTCCTGGCATGTCTTGGGAGGGCCACACCCCTGTTCACGTGTGTTTTAGTGACTGCCTGGTGATATTTGTGGCAGGTGGGCCTGAGGAAGGGTGCCTTTGAGAAGCGCTCAGAGGTTTCTGTGCCCAGTATGTGGGAGTACTGCCTGAGGAGCAGGAAAAGAACCAGCATTGTAGAGAAGTGGGGAGTCCTGAGGACTGAACCCAGAGAGGAGGGTTAAATATCTGGAAATAGGCAGAATCTGTGACCAAATAGTGGATTTGCTCCAGAAAGCCATAGGATGTATGAGGGCCAGCTGCTGCTGGTGAAAGTTGATTGAAAAATCCCTTAAAAATTTTTTTTTTCTGTGACCCAGTCAGAGAAGCCTGCTAGGTCTTGCACTTGGCTTTTAATTAGAATGCTTATGGCCATGTGCATGCCTGTTCCCTGTTTTCTTGCTATTCTTTTGATCAAAGAGTGCTGCCACTTGCAGAAAGGCAGAGGGAATCTAAAGCCCTCCTGTCATACAAGTGCATTTTTGTGCCGTCCTAAGTCCCTCCTGCTGTTTTCTAGATCATGAAGTCCAGCAGTAAAGTCCACAGCTTTGGCAAGAGAGACCAGGCCATTCGGAGGAACCTCAGTGTTCCAGTGGTTGTGCGGGGCTGGCTGCACAAGCAGGTGAGGTGACTGGGCAGGGAGGTGGAGCCCTTGCTGAGTCCCTTCCTTACCCTGGTCCCTGGGAGCTGGGAGCAGACTCATAATAAGCTTTCTGTTCCTGAGTTTGTCTGAGGCAGGTTGATTCCACCCACTGTGCTGAGTGATTTGCTATTCGTTTTATGAGTGGACTGTTTGCTCAGTGGCTATAGCTTCCCTCTTCAGCTCTGCCAGCACTTGCCTTCCTGATGTCAAAGAGCCTTTGTTATCATTTGGCTGAAAAAAATCCTATTTTTCCCTCTCCCCCAGTCTAGCACACCATCTAACTCCCTAGCACTTCAGATTATAAATCAGCCAAACTCACCTCATTGTCTCCTCATCCCTTTTTTCTCCCAACCTGCTTTTTCTGGATCTTGGTGGTGATGTCACCATTGTTCTAGGCAGTCAGGTTAAAGACCTTACAACATCACCTGCTCCTTCTCCCCAACATCCATTCAGTCACAGGGGCCACCCTTCGTCTCTGTCCTCACCACCAGTTGTTCTCTTTCTGGTCAAGGATAGGCTGTGAGCTCCCAGAGCCAGAGACCATGTCCCCTTTGTCTCTCCGTGCCATCCATTCCTTCCATCCATGCATTGTCTCCCATGTTAAGTACTGCCACAGGAAGGTTAAAGAGACAGAGAACGCGTGGTTCCTGCCCTGAAGGAACTCACAGTCTGCCAGGGGAAGCAGACACATCTGTCACACGGCATATCATCACCCAGCAGTTGCTCAGATCATACCATCCAAAACCACACAAATCAAACTCCAAGAGCAATGATGTAAATTTTTACTAAAGCCTTTATGGGAAGACAGGGGAGGGCATTGCATTGCATACTACACAGAATCCCTAAAAGTGTCTCTGAAATCTGGTTCTGTTCCCCATGGCCAATCCCATAGCTCTCTAGCTTCTTCTGTCAGACACCCCTTCGGCACCACCCTCTCTTGGTGATACCTGCTTCCTTCGCAGCTGTTTTTACTCTCTTTTCTTACCTGAGTATTTGAATTCTTTTTCCATTTGTCTCCCCATTCCTATTAAACAAAAGGATACTCCTTTGAAATGTGTAAGGAGAGGGAAGGGATTGCAAAAAGTTTTCACCTAAGATGTTTTTAATAAATGTAATGATTTACATTTTAGATGAGGAAAGACAGAGTCTTGTTCTAAGACAGTTTGGTAGCAAGAACATCCCAATTCTCTTTACACTGAATTGGAAGGAAAATACACAGCAAAATCAGTCCCTTATGATAAAGTACTTAGTGAAATGAGAACTTTGCCTCGTTGATTAATTAGCTAACATAAAACTTGTTCTATATTATGAGAATCAATTTTCTAATCAACGTAAGTGAAGGTATTTTACAATACAACACCTAAGTAAATAAATAACTTCCTTTTTGTTAAAAGCTGATTTCTTCATGGAAGAACTTATTTTTGAATCGACATTTTTCTTTCTAAAAGAAGGCTGCTTATAATATGTCGATCTGTTTCCAGGAAACAACAACAAAAAGTTCCCTGGGGATAAACTGTCATTGATTTCAGTTTTAATACCCTATTCAAAGAATGGCTATGCAATAAAAATTCATTAATTTATCGAAAGAAAGAATGAATATGGGCAAGTCTTGGCTCCAGAGTCAGGTTGTACGTGACTGGGGAGGGGGAACTATGCTCAGCTCTTGCCCTGATTAGTTTGCTTTGCTTTGCAGGACAGTTCTGGGATGAGGCTGTGGAAAAGGAGATGGTTTGTGCTTGCTGATTATTGCTTGTTTTACTATAAAGGTGAGCCACGGCTTGGGCCACTGAGGGCTCTTTGTGCTGGAGGGGGTGGTGAGGTGATGCAAGTGGTGCTCTTCTCAAACCCGGTGATTGGACCAGTAACTTGAGCTGATTTAATAACCTGCTGACCCACCAGAGTGTTTGCTTTTACATATGTGGATGGCTGGTGATTTCATTTTTACCAGTTCTAGAATGGGAAGTATCATTTTATTGAGTGGAAATCAATCCAGTTTGCCTGCTACTTAGGGTCTCAAGATCTGGAGTTGTCCCAGCTTGGGCCCCATTTGGGACATAGGCACAGCTTTGACACAATCTGGAGAGGCAGGAAGTATAGGTAAATCATTGTAATTTGTAACCTGTGATCTGGATTTATGCTGTGGTGCTGAATGGGCACTGGTGAGTTGAGTTGGCCATGTGAACAGTTATGGAGTCCTGCTACACAGAGTTAGGTGCTATGCAATAATAAGAAGGAAGTAAGGCTCACAATATGTAGGAAATAGCTTACTTTTAAGACAAGGCCAAGCAGTGATAGGTACTTTAGAAAGCATCCATGGGGAGCAGGAAGTTAATACCTATGGGAAAGTTTGGGGAGGTTTCTTTGATGGAGCTTGAGTTGGGCTTTTAAAGATGGTAGACTTCTGCCTGTGTGTAGTAGGGAGGTGGGCATTACAAGTGGTGGAAGCAGCAGAGTTCTAGAAAGAGAAGAGAGTGAGTGGAATGACAGACCTGTAAGGCCAGAGTGAGTTTGCAAGAGGACAGACTAGGAGATAAAGCTCAGGAGGTGGGTAAGGGCCAGACTGCAGAAGGGCTGACCGGGCAGGGGAAGCTGGGCTTCGTTCGGTATCCAGTGGGCAGTCAGCAAGTGCCTTTGAGTGGGAGAGTGACAGGACCAACTCTGTCAGTGCAAAGCTACCTCCCATAATGAAGGTGGTTTGGAGGAGGAAGAGGTTAGATGTGGAAGGTAGGATATTTCACACATGCTCTAAACTACCTGTGAGGTTTGCTCTGCCCAGAACGTCCTTCCTCATCCTTTAAAACACTTCAAATATCACCTTCTGAAGCCTTCTCAACTTCCGCAGACCATGCACTCCTGCCTCTGTGTTCCCACACACCCTGTACAATGCCTGTTTCAGGAGTTAGCAGGGGAGTGGCCCGTCTGACTCACTTGTGTAGTTCTGCATTTGCACAAAGGTTCCCCAGGGAGCACCTGATTGGATAGTGACTGCCATAGCCCTGAGGAGGGGTAGGGACCCCTGAACTTGAGCAGTGGATGGGCCGTGCCAAAGAAGGTGCCACAGAGGTTATTCTGATGTGTTTTTCTATTCAAAGACAGCCGAGAAGAAGTGGTCCTTGGGAGCATCCCTCTGCCCAGCTACGTGATCTCACCTGTGGCCCCTGAAGATCGCATAAGTCGCAAGTATTCCTTTAAGGTATACCCCCTCTTGGGTGCAGTAAGTCCATCCTAAGAAACTTTGTGTTCCCAAACATGGCTTCATGAAAGCAGCTGTGTTTGTGAAGAGGAGGGAGAAGCTAAGAAGCCAGAGCATTTCAGGCTTATGTTAACACAGGTATAAATTCCTTAAACAAGAATAAATCACATCACAAGTAGTTCCATTTTTATCTGGGCTTTTGAGGCCCCTAGCCTTGAAGTATTTAGACCCCTCTTTTCCTATGGCCAATGGTGCTGTGACTGTATTGTGAACACAGCCCTTCTCATGCTTTCTTATCACTGTACACAACCAGTCAGACTAGTATCTAACCCCTTGGTTCAAGTACTGGGCTCTCACAGTGGATGTGTATCAGTTATTTCATGAAAGCTTACATTGAGGGCTAGGGGCCTGCATATTGAAGAGATTTTCAGGTTTTTCCACTTGTTGTAAACCAATTTAAATCAATATTGGTTTATTTTCTGGATCATTGAAGGTTTCCAAGAAAATCCCTTCACCAGTAAAACCCTTTTTCTACTTCCTTTGCTGTCATTCCATTTAGAGTGAGTGGGCTCATGACAATTGATGGCAGTCCTTTGATGGACTCTGTAGCCAGGTGTGGAGGTGCTAGAAAGGTGGTGCTCAGGCCCCAAATTAGGGAATCCTGAGGCCATCTCCTTTGCTGACTTCCACGCATTCCTCCCCTAGAGATAGAGAGGGTGGGGTAGGTTTAAGGTCCACTTTCTGGCAGTCGGAGTGGAAGTCTCAGCTCCAAAGCAAGTGGCCCTTGGTGCCAGTAGCCATGGCGAGACACCCTGTCATACTGCTCAAGATACGAGGGAATGACATGCATTTTGAGCTGGGTTAAAGGGCTTGTGTCCCCATTGCTCATATAGCTTGGTTGTTGCGCTATTGAGAGTCCAAGATGAATATTAGATGTAGGTACTCAAGCAGAGGTTCAACAGAAGTTTTCTGGCCAGCGGTAGTTAACGGACCATGGGAAACCAGAGAGGAAGACATTCCCTGAAAGAGTTAAAGGAAAGCATTGGTATGTAGCATCCACAGAGCCCCTGGGGGGTGATCACCTACTTCAGCATCTTGTTCTAGAGCCCAGTGTGGTGGTGGTGGTGGGAGAGTCCATTTCATCTTCCTTGTACCTTTCCCTCTTGAGCTGATGCTTCAGCGTTTTCGTTGACAGGTTTGAGCTGCCCTTCTCTTTCCCCTGTCTGTCACAATAGCAGGTGACTCCAGAATTGCTCTGGGTTGAAGATTCTGGGATCCTTCCCCACTTCGTGTTGACTGATACAGTATTGCCTTTAATCTGTAAGATCTTTTATGATCTGAGAAGTACTTTTATCCATGTTACCTCACCTAATGCCTCTGGGGAGCCTGTGAGGACTACGAGGATCAGAGTGCTTAAGAAACTTGCCCAGAGTCACAAAGCTGGAAGATGATGGAGACAGAACTCAAATGTGAACTCTGTGCTTTTTCAGATGCATGTCAGGGAGGAAGGGCGATTTCTTTCTCTTCCTCTCTGCTTTTCACAGATTGCAGGAGGTGGGAGGTGATTTGAATCAGTGTTTATTGTTATCATTTTAGGAAAACTCTTGCTATTAACAGTTCAGGAGCATCTCGTGCTTATTGTTGGTTCTGAAAACATTGTGTTCTGTGGGCTTCAGACTGTTCTTGTGCAGCCTGAAAGTCTTCCTCAGAAACCTTGCTTTCTAGGGTTGAGTGTTGCTACTAGGCAAACAGTTGGGTTAATGATGTTATCTGTGATTTTTTGGACAGCATTTGGAATATCCTTAAAGTGACCAATCATAACTATATACATTTCATCTGAACACTCCATTGGGAGGTGTAAAAATAGATTCTAGGAAAATATCTTTTATGTGTTGTAGATTCTTTGTCTTCTAAAAATTTTTTGTCTTAGACTTCACTGAGACTGTTCCCTCAATCTTTTGTCTGGAGACAGAAGATATGCATGTGCGTGGGGAGATCTCGGTGGGAGGGTTCCTCAGGGTCTGAGAGCAGAGGGAAGCTACCGCAGACAGGTGTGGTGGTCAGTAGCTTCTGCAGGAAGGGCTGTGGTCTCCTGGGGTGCAGGAGGAGTCCCCATGCCCTTTGGGCTGCAGCACCATTCTTCTAGACAACTGGCCAAAGAGCCTCTTGGACACTTCAGGATCCACGCTCTTGCGCAGACTGAGGCATGCACAGTATTTTGGCCTGGGCCTTACATCTGCCTGTGATGTCAGTTCTGTTTCCAGAGCTGAAAGTCTCTGAGTACTGCTAGGGCACCTTGCCTGAGATTGTTCAGAGTATCTGTGTTGGCAGATAGGCACAGCCTGAAAGCTTATTCGGTCCTCTCCTTGATTTTCTTTTCCAGCTGTGCTTGCAGCCTGGCAGCTCCTGTACATTACCAGGGAGGACATGTTACCTCACCTAATGCCTCTGGGGAGCCTGTGAGGACTACGAGGATCAGAGTGCTTAAGAAACTTGCCCAGAGTCACAAAGCTGGAAGATGATGGAGACAGAACTCAAATGTGAACTCTGTGCTTTTTCAGATGCATGTCAGGGAGGAAGGGCGATTTCTTTCTCTTCCTCTCTGCTTTTCACAGATTGCAGGAGGTGGGAGGTGATTTGAATCAGTGTTTATTGTTATCATTTTAGGAAAACTCTTGCTATTAACAGTTCAGGAGCATCTCGTGCTTATTGTTGGTTCTGAAAACATTGTGTTCTGTGGGCTTCAGACTGTTCTTGTGCAGCCTGAAAGTCTTCCTCAGAAACCTTGCTTTCTAGGGTTGAGTGTTGCTACTAGGCAAACAGTTGGGTTAATGATGTTATCTGTGATTTTTTGGACAGCATTTGGAATATCCTTAAAGTGACCAATCATAACTATATACATTTCATCTGAACACTCCATTGGGAGGTGTAAAAATAGATTCTAGGAAAATATCTTTTATGTGTTGTAGATTCTTTGTCTTCTAAAAATTTTTTGTCTTAGACTTCACTGAGACTGTTCCCTCAATCTTTTGTCTGGAGACAGAAGATATGCATGTGCGTGGGGAGATCTCGGTGGGAGGGTTCCTCAGGGTCTGAGAGCAGAGGGAAGCTACCGCAGACAGGTGTGGTGGTCAGTAGCTTCTGCAGGAAGGGCTGTGGTCTCCTGGGGTGCAGGAGGAGTCCCCATGCCCTTTGGGCTGCAGCACCATTCTTCTAGACAACTGGCCAAAGAGCCTCTTGGACACTTCAGGATCCACGCTCTTGCGCAGACTGAGGCATGCACAGTATTTTGGCCTGGGCCTTACATCTGCCTGTGATGTCAGTTCTGTTTCCAGAGCTGAAAGTCTCTGAGTACTGCTAGGGCACCTTGCCTGAGATTGTTCAGAGTATCTGTGTTGGCAGATAGGCACAGCCTGAAAGCTTATTCGGTCCTCTCCTTGATTTTCTTTTCCAGCTGTGCTTGCAGCCTGGCAGCTCCTGTACATTACCAGGGAGGCTGAGTACTGGATGGACCCTGTGGTGTAGCCGGGTCTGTACCCACAGCAGAGTATGTCAAGCAGGGCTCTGTGGCCTCGAGGAGACATGCGGCCCCACCCTGACCAGCGGGCCTTTCCTGCTCCGCCAGCTCCCCTGGGGCACCTCCCTGGAAAGCCCCTCTGGGATGCACTGCCACCCTTGGCCTATTGGTCATTTCTGAACAACCTTGGGCCCTCAGATGAGGATCTGGAGTAGAAAACATCCCCAGACAGCAAAGGGTCCAAAAATCTTCTATGGGGAAAAAGCTTTTAGTGCCTCCCTTTGAGCCATTCTCTCTGTCAAGACCCAGGGTTCTTAACCTGAGGTCTACACCCTCCAGGTGTCAGTGGAGAAATCACATCTTTCCTCTTTTTAGGCCTATGACACCCCCTTGGACTAGGAAAGCAGGCAATAGCAGAAAGCAGCACCTGTGTGCGGCCACCAGTGGGCACCAGGGGCACCCTCATGCCTTGTTGTGGTTGTTGAACGTGGGTTGAAATATAATTTATGCTCATCACCGCATTGACATTACAATAGTTACTAGTACATTTGTTATATAATGCATGATTAAAGAAGCACCTGCATCACAATATCACAGCATTTAAAAAATGTTTTAAAAATATAAAACTATATATCAATATATTTCCTTTATTTGGACTTCAGAACATTTTGAGAGGAGTTCATAGGAGTCACCAAACTGTTAAAACAGTTCATGCCTCCCCAAAGGGTAAGACCCCTTGTTTAGATCCTGGCTGAAGGCCAGCCAGGAAACATGGTTTTTCACATACTTACATTCAGCAAACTCTTACTGTGTTCTGTTGTTCTGCTCGGCTGGATATAGATGCTGGGGATGCAACAATGGGAAGAGCAAAGTCCTTGCCTTCCTGGGGCTTCTGCTCTAGCATCTGCACCAGTGTGGGGTTGTTAGGGCAGGAGGAGGGACACGGAGGAGCCACCCTTTTGCCCTCACATCTCAGTTTGGTGCTTTGTGTATCTCTCGGATCCATCTGTTCCTCTCCACTGCTGCTGTCATTGTTCTGTCTTGGCTGCCATCATCCCTTCCCCAGGCACCTGACTGCTTGAGCAATGCGTAACATGTAGTAAGTGCTTCCCACTGTAAAGTGCTGTGTCAGCCTTCAAACTCCTCTGCAGCCTCCAATCTGTCCTCCACGCTGTTCCTCAATTGCACTTCTGTTCAGGTTGTACTCCCACCATAAACCCTTCAGTGGCTCCCCATTGCTTACAGGATAAAGCCCAGGCTACGTTTACAAGGCCACAGCTTTCCCTCTCCAGCCCCGTTTTTAGCCACTCCCATCTCATACTTTCCATCCATGTACTGTTACCTAAAGGCCCCAGGACATTACTTGACCAATAGGCCTTTGCTTGAGCTTTGGCCACAGCCCAGAATGCCCTTCCTCCAGTTCTTACTTGTCCTTCAGGTCTTTGCAGCAGTCACTCCTCCGGGAAGCCTTCCTAGAGCCCTCTGGAGAAGTTAGGTACCTTCTTCTGTACATTCTGTACAGCTCTTGTGTCGCTGCGCTGTAGATGGTAGATTTACCCGTCTAGAGCATTCACCAGGAAAACCAGCCCATCAGCTGGTTCTGATGGATAGATGGGGCTAGTCCCTTTCTGCAAACAGAGACCACGTGCAGCGGTCACTGGTGGTAGGAGTTGTAGTCAGGGACACTGCTTCCACTTCCCAAGTTATGATGGTTTCAGGCTTGCTTGTCGTTCATGTTTAGTCATCTGTAACTTAGAGATGGAGAGGGCAGGGAAGAGTCTTCTGTAGTTTCTAGAAGGCTCATCATTCAGCCACCTTAGGTCCTTCAAGTCACTGCTCCTATAAGAATATCAACTGACATAGTTGAGCCTTACAAATGCCAGACTGTGCTGTAATGGGTGTGCATTATCTCACTGAATCTTCCCATGGCCTTACAAGGTAAGCACTATTGTTACCCATAGTACCATTGTAAAGATGAGGAGACAGAGGCACGAGGAGCTTGAGCAGGTTGGCCCAGGGTTACTGTGGGGTAAGAAGCAGAGCCCACCATGGACCCCAGGCTGACTCCAGGAGCTCGAGTTTGTACCCAGTTCACTGTGCTGCTCATAGTCAGCCCGAAGGCTGGATGTGAGGCGTTCCTGTCTTAATCCCAACAAACAGGTGCCAGCGTCATGGTAAGTCAGACCTGGAGTCTTACCCTTGACGACTGCCGTCTTTCACTGCTCGCAGTCAGGGATCACCAAGTCCCGCTGACGCTACCTGCTATTCTCTCCACGCTCTGTCCACTCTTCTTCTGGGCCCTGCCTGCCCTCCTGCGGTGGCCTCCTGACCCGTGTCCCCTCCTGGGGTCCTACATGTCCTCTCTATATGCTGCTCCTACAGAAATATCTGCTTGTTACATAGAAGGCAGCCTAAGTGTCATTCCTTAGGTAAGTCCCTTTCCAGGTGGGGCCAGGTGCCCCTACTATCCTCTCTCAAGCGTCCTGAACTTCTTAGTGAGCCCTACTACCATTGGAGGTACTTGTCTGTGGCCTTTCTTCTCTGCTTGGCTGTACATTGTCTTGGCCTTGTTGAAGGCTGTCCCTTCGACTTCTAGTGCAGTGCCTTCCCCATAAACAGTCAATGATCAATTGTTGAATGAATCAGTAAGTTGACGGGGCTTGGCCTTTTGAGTGCTCCTGTATTTCCCACCTAGGTCTCTCTGTTTTAATGGCTGATGTTGAGGGCTTGTCGTGTGAGCATTCCAGCTTCCTTCCTGGTGTTGTATCAAGACCTGAACCCTCAGAGCCAGGAGAGCAGTTGTATCCCAGGGGCATTATGTTTTTAGGTAAACTTTTCCTTGCTCACTCCTCGCTTCCTTTAGGCATAGCCTTGAGATTTCTGTTCAGTCATGCAAAGTTACCTGGTAGGCTTGTGGTAGAAAGTGAAGAGCAGAGGGGAGAGAGCATCTACAAGATGAGACTATGGCACTTTGAACTCAGGTCACTTGGCCAGATGGATGGGGAGCTCCATGCACTTCTTGCCTTTGCAGTAAATACATTGCTATGCCCAGGCACAGGCAGGATGTAGTTGAGCCCCTGTTCTTCAGAGCCAAGGGCAGCTGGTCACAGTGCATGCTGGCAGTTTGATCAGTGACTGTGGTTATATTTGTGAGATGTGTAAGTCCTTTGTAATGATGGGTCTAACTCCCCAGGCCCACTGCAGGCAGACATGCAAACTCCCCATGTTTGAAGTATGTCCCATGTTGATTTCCTGGACAAGGCTCGCTCCATGAATCTTGTATAGCAGGGACCTGCTCCCCCCATGATACTCTTAAGGGCTCCCTCTGCTTGTGGGTGGCCTTTTATCTGCTGGGGTGAGTGCCTGTCCCAGGACCTTCTATGGCAGGGTAGAGAGTCTGGGAGAGACTTACAGGGTCATTGTCCCAAGGCAGTTTTCCAAGAATTTCTGTTGATTCACAGTAAGACATGCTCAAGTCCCTTCTCATTCTGTTCTTACTGCCACATCTCCACCTTCCTAAAATAGGAGGACTCCTTCCTGGGACAGTGGATAGCACCTAATACAGGCAGACCTTATTTTATTGCATTTCACATCACAGATACTTTTTTTTTTTAAAGAAAGGTTTTGGCAACCTTGCATCGAGCAAGTCTATCGATGTTATTTTTCCAACATCATTTGCTCACTTTGTGTCTCTGTGTCACATTTAGTAATTCTTGCAATATTTCAAACTTTTTCATTATTGCTAGGGTGAACTGTGATAAATAACCTTTGACATTGCTATTGTTACTGTTATGGGGTACTGCACAGTGAGTCCATTTACGATGGCAGACTTGGTAGATATTGTGTGTGTTCTGACCACCCCACTGACTGGCTGCTGTGCATCTCTCTCCCTCTCTCAGGGCCTCCCTGTTCCCGGAGAGACAGCAGTATTAAAGTCAGGCCAGTTAAGAACCCTGCAATGGCCTGTAAGTGTTCAAGTGAAAGGAAGAGTCACACTTTTTTAGAGTCTCTCACTTTCCATCAAAAGTAGAAATGATTAGGCTTAGTGAGGAAGGCATGTCAAAAGCCAAGACAGGCTGAAAGCTAGGCCTCCTGCACCAAAATTACCCAAGTTGTGAATGCCAAGGGAAAGTTCTTGAAGGAAATTAACTCCACTGAACATGCGAATGATAAGGTCAAAGAGCCTTGTTGCTGAAGTGGAGGAAGTCTGAGTGGTCTGGGTGGAAGATCAAACCAGGCACAACATTGCCTCAGCTAGAGCCTCAGCCAGAGCAAGGTCCCAATTCTCTTTAGTGCTGTGAAGGCTGAGAGAGGTGAGGAGGCTAAAGAAGAAAGGCTTAAGCCTAGCAGAGGTTGGTTTGTGAGGTTTAAAGAAGGAAGCCGTCCCTATAACATTAAAGTGCCAGGTGAAGCAGCAAGTTATCCAGAAGATCTTGCTAAGATCATGAATGGAGGCCACCCCAACCTTCAGCTACCACCACCCTGCATTGGGTCTGCCTTTCATTCTGGATCCAGTTTATTCCACCAGTAAGCTGTATAATCATGCTTCTGGATAGGACCAAGGAGCATTGTACAGAGAAGCTTGGGCTCAGAGGCAGACAGACCTGGCTCCAACTCTTGGCACTGTTATATTCTAGGGGGAGGAGACAGATGATAAACAAACAATGGTGTAAAGTTAATAATGCTAGGTGATAAGTGCTGTGAATAATCTGTTACCACGCATAGAAATCTGCAGCAGTTACTTAGGCCTTCATTTGCCACATCTGTAAACAGATACTGTCCCTCCCTCTCAGGGTGATTGGGATTCAAGTGAGATAAAGTCATGCAAGGCCCCAGAAGACACAGGAGACACTGGAAAGCTTCCTCTTTTTACACCCTCCTCTGTGGGTTTGGTGCATTTTTCCTTGCAAAGTTGAAAGGCCCCTGCTTACCAGAGCGCAAGAGGAAAGACGGGTCCTGAGTCTTGTTCACAGACCATCCCTGTTGCTTTTCACTGGTCATTCTCAGGATCTCTTCACAGGCTCTTTGCAAGGACGCATGTGAAGGCACCTTCAGGCTTCCTAGCACATAATGGGTATGCAAGGATTTGTGGTGAAATGTCAGCTCTGTCCAACTTTGTGCCTTTTTGGAGAAATAGAATAACACCTTCTTTGATAGGCACACATCACGTTTCATGCCCAAGTGGGGAAGCACAGTGAGAATCTGCACCAAGACACCTGTTGTTGCAGCTGATTTTTGACTCATTCCTTCTAATTGTGTGCTTCAGAAGAATCGAAACAGAGAGTCCATACAGTCTGCTTTTACAGAGTGTGGGTTTTAGAAAAGTCTCTTTTTCAATAAGCCTTGACTGTGCGTCCCTCCTAGAGCAGGAGTGAAGAGGAGTAGGAGACAGGTACAGCTGGCGGACTTCTGTGGGGGACAGACAGCAGTCTTGGGCCCAGCTGTGCTAAGGAAATACAGCCCATGACAGTTTCCAGGTGTGGGGGGCTTGGGCTTTTAGTCCGGAAGAGGGGAGATCATGGCTAGAGTGTCTCCTTGTTTTTTGCTCCTTGAAGTGAAATGTGCTCTCATTTCAAATGTGCCCTTGGAAAGTAACCTCTCCGGCCTGGGTTTCCATCTCATGCTTACAGGCCGTGCACACGGGGATGCGAGCGCTCATCTATAACAGCTCCAGCGGGGGCTCTCAGGCCGAGCAGTCGGGCATGAGGACGTACTACTTCAGCGCCGACACCCAGGAGGACATGAATGCATGGGTCAGGGCCATGAACCAGGCTGCGCAGGTGCTGTCTCGCTCATCACTGAAGAGGTCAGTCCTGATGGAGGGTCCCTGTCATAGTGCTTCCTATGCGAGGAATAAGAACTCTTGGGTTCCCCGAATTCCACCATTCACTCACACATAGTAAGCATTGCCCTGTCTGTGAAGTCGTTTTTAGCAGTGTGTCCTTCTGGGAGGGGAATGCATACACAGCTAACACATGTTGCCCGTCAGAGCATGAAGGTTTCCTGGAAGATATTTAGTCCACTCTCTCCATTAAACAGAGAAACACAAAGGCCCAGGAGATGAAATGACTGCTTGGGATACAAGCCTTGGAACCTGGTGTGTGTGTTTCTCAGTTTTTCTTATGTGTGGTGGAATAGACAACCTTGGGGAGGAAGGAGAGGACAGACAAAAAAGATCTTACCAGCCAGATGTGTGCTAGAGACTGCCACGAGGTGGGCGGCGGGGATGGCTGGCGGGGCAGTCATCCAGCTGCCCCTTTCTGCAAGTGGGCAAACCAAGGGTTCACTCAGGGATCTGGAAATTCCCGAGTCTGTTGGCTGTGGGAACTCCCTGAGAGAAAGCAGAGGAAGAATGAGTGGAGTTTGGGGCTCAGAGAGGGTTGGGGAGCCCAGCAAGGTCAGGTGTGTCTCCAGCCACCCCTCACATGACAGGGGCCCCACTCCTCACTGCTGCACACTGGTCTGTTTAGAGGTCTCCTTGACGATGGGCTTCATGAGGGCTCAGAACAAAAGGGTGTTCTCCAACAACCTAAAGGCAGGGTTTTTCAGTGACTGCAAATGGATTTCACATGGTGTGTTTTTAGCTTGTCAGCTTCTTCAACTCATGTGTATGTGATTTTTGGTGTTGGTGGAACTTGGTAGCTTCATGCTCTCTTTCTTGGCGGACCTTTGGTGTAGAGTGACCTCCTGCAAGAGGCCAGGGTCAGGCCCTACCCTTGGAGCTTCCGTAGCACCTCAGTCGAGCATTTGCCACACTGCTTTTTCCATCTGTCTACTTGTCAGTATCCAAGGCTTCAGGCAGGGATCATTTTTGCATCCTGTGCATGCCCAACACAGAGCAGGGTCTCAAATGTCTGTTGAGTGAGCAAGAGATTGAAAGAATGAGTGAATATGTTGGACAAAGACCATCCTGGAAGTTTCCATCCTGGCCCTGAATCAGTAAGTCTTAACTACAGGTATTCAGTTAAGTTTGACTCTTACCTCCTAGCATCATCACCCAGCCTGAATTTTTCTATTGTGTCCAAGATGATGATATGAAAGGCTCTGCAGATAATGTGCCAGCAATCTGTCCATCGTGACATTGGCATTTCCTTTATCATCCCAGAAGGGAACTGGGTGGGTTTGATATGCGCTACTCCTGGTGCTCATGCTGGTCCCTAATGCTCACTGTTTCCTAGTCTTTTTATTCTTTTTTTAAAATTACATATATACATAAATATTTAATTATACAATAAATGAAGACATTTTTATTATAGAAACACAAAAGGTAAAGACAAAGATATCCTTAATCACCTTCCCAGAATAATCTCTGTTATCAGGTTTATGGATATCCTTTTAAACTATTTTCTATTCATTTATATACATACATGCATTTAAAGAAGTATATAGGTGTCTTTCGTGCTTTTTAAAACATGAGTGATACCATTTTGAAAATCATTCTCTGTCAGTGTATAAGGATCAGCTTAACTTTGACTGTTGTATGGTATTTCATAGTATCATAGTACCATGATGTATTTCAGTTTGTGCCAAAACGTGGATAGTTTATTCATCTTTTATTGTTAGAAGTCATCCTGTAATGAAAAACCTTTTACAAGCCTGTGCATGTGTAAATCTTCCAGATTGCTGGATCAAAACACAATGCATTTTTACTTGTAAGTAATACCACCAAATTGCCCTCTAAAGAAAGCTGTATATTCCACTAATAAGAGTGCTCATTTCCCTACATCTTTGCCAGTAGTTGATACTATCAATCTTTTAAATGTTTGCTGAGCCACTGTGTAGATAAGTAGTATCTGGGTATTTTATGTATGTCCACAGTGGTGGGGATCTTTTATATTTATGGGCCACTTGTGTTTTCTCCTCAGTGAATTGGTGGTACCTGTCCTCTGTTCATTTTTCTACTGAATTGTTTGCCTTTTCTTGGTGCTTCCTTTCCTCCGTGCTCTGAAATCTGCCTGTTTAAGAATGTGGCTTAGCCTCTTGCAAAGATTGGTGTTAGGCTGTCCAGTCTTGTGGTTAATGGAATCCACTTTTCTTTTCTTTTGAAAATCATGATGCTGTTTGCCAGTGTCTAATATACTGGCATTTTTCCTGTTCTCTTTGATTTCTCAGGGATCACCTGTGAGGTATCTTAGCCTGTCTCCAGGTTCCCTTAGGGCCCTGGGGCGCTGGCAGCTCGGCTTTGAGCTCAGCCACAGGAGGCTCGGCCTTTCCCATTTCCTTCCTGTCTTGGACTTTCAGTCTCTCTTAACCAGTGCTGCTTACCTTTTCATGGTAGTGATCTTTCTTCTTGATGAAGATACGGGACTAAATCTAAAAGCTGCAAAGTTCAGCTTCATTTATGCTGCTGTCATCCTCCCCAAGGAGAGATGCCTGTGTCTTCCTTTTTTTTTTTTTAAAAGCCTCCACTCCTTTATTTTGATTCTTTGAGAAATAGAAAGTTTTTGTTTTGCTTTGCTTTAAGTGGGTAAACTCAGCTTCTTGTAGACGTTGCCCTAGTGCCATTGCTCATGGGGGCCTGTGCACTGTGGGCTTGTGCCCCACCTTCCATTTCTCATGCACGTTCTTTCATCACTTGAGCTCTGAGAGCTCCCTGAGTTGTTATAAGTGGTTTCTTTCTATGAATGAGAGCAAATAGGTTCATTCTTGTGTCCCGGTTTTGCTCAATTCTTCATGACTGACTAGGGCACTGGGTCAAAGATAACCTGAGAATGAGATTAGGCTTTGTTAATTTGCTAGCTGAGATTTGGGTTTTTTAAACCTTTTCTTACCTGAAGATTTTGTAATGAACTAATCAGATTTTGCTTTTAGAAGGGCTCTCTGTCCCTTGTCTGTTGGGCCTTCTTCCCTTTTAAGTTCTCAGGCCATTGTATTGTCCTAAGATATTCTCTGAATTTTTAATATTTGTTCTTATTCTCTTAAAAAACTCTTAAAACCTATAATCATGCCTGCCAAGGTTTCTTCCTTTTAAAAAAATTAAAAAACACCAAAATAAAAAACTTGTCTACCTTCTGAGTCAGAATTAAGGCAAAATAGCATTTTCTCTGAACTTCCTGAGAGATGAAATTGTCAGCCAAGCAAATCTAGACTTACTAACTGTTCTGTTTTTTCAGAATAAGATGTTCAGACACTTGGTTAGTTGGAATTATTTGTTATAAAGACTGTTTTGCCTCTCTTTTACTCCATCTCATCAGTGGATCATCTTACTCATCAATATGATCTGCATTGGAAAACCTCCATCCCTGTTAATTTGGAGCCCCAAAGGGCATTTCTTTCTCTCCCTGCCTTGATTCTCACCCAACTACTTCTATCTTTATTCATATAGGCAGATGGCTTTCTTTATGAATGTGATATATTAGGACTCCTGATTGCCAGTAACAGAAAATGTAGATAAATTTACCTTAAAAAGGGAGGAATTTATTGGTTCATGTCACTGAAAAGTTCAAGATAGATACAGCTTTAGAAATAGCTGGATTCAAGGCTCAGACAATATAATTACAAGTCATTTGCTCCATCTCTAGGCTCTGCCCACCTCTGGGTTGAAATTATTCTTGAACTCTGTGCAGATCTAGGATCTGGTGGCAAGATACCTGTAGAAGCCTAAGACTCATGTCAGTAAGGTTAAAGTCCAGCAGGAAAGAGCCAGAGTCTTATTCAAGAGCTCTGAGATCAATTCTGATTAGACAGGCGTAGATCGCATTTATATTCTAACCCCTATACTGTGGCCAGGGAATGTAAATGCTGACTGGCACAAGCCTGGGATACACGCCTCATTTCTGGGAAGCATACCATGGAGACTGAAGGTGAGATAGGGGTGGATGCCCCAGTAAACACTGGGACTATGGGCAAAGGAAGGGGAAATGACTTGTTGGGATGGAGTAAAGGAGGTGCACATAACCAATAGCTAGGTCAACTGATTCACCTCTCACTTAGTTTATCAATTTATTTTACCTTAAGTATCTTCTCCCAGGGCTTAGTCTCTGAAGTCAGATAGACCAGGGTTCAAATTCCAGCTCTACTGCTTTCTAGCTGTGTCACTTATGCAAATTAAGAATGCTTTTTAAACCTCAGTTTTTCTTAGTTAATGGGGTTGTTACAAATAGTAAATTAAATAAATGAATATACAAAGTGCTTACTTACCGTGATGCCTAAGACATAGTAGATATTCTGTAACAGATATGCCAACTTCCATAGGGTTGGTTTATCAATATCACTGGCTCCTTTTTCTTTACACCCTTCCAGTTTCATTGTGAATGCTCTGGATTCCATTGATGAGTCTCTTGTGAGCAAACTGCACTCTGTCCGTTGCCAGGATGTGCCCATCCCCTGCAGTGTGAGCTGTGGCTGTGCTTCAACAACCTAGGCTCCCTGCAGCCTACTGGTCACCTTCCTCTTCCTACATCAATCCTCTGACCCAGGACTAGAGCCGAGTGCCCACTGTACCTCTTCCCTTTGTCCTCTTGCTTCCTCACAGGCTTTAGGGTCCCTTGAGAGCCCACCCCACGTGCTGTGAGGCACAGCAAACACTGCTGCTAAAGCCCTCTCTCTACCTCTTTCTGTTCAGAATTTCTGCCCCATTCCCGTGTTCCTCTACTTACCAGGTTTTGACTCTAGTTCTTGAAATTTGTCTTCCCAGCCCTCCCATTGGACTGCCTTTTCTCTCTTGTCTATGGATGCCTGTGTCCTGGTGAGCTGAAACACTGAGCAAGGAGTCAGCTTGCCTTTACAGCCCGTGAAACCAACAAGCAACTCATATAGGAGGGCCTTTGGAAAACAAACTTCTCTCTTTTCTCAGTTTCCAAACCT